GGTATGCTGATTCAAATGTGTGATTTCCCTCTTATTACCCTCCTGATGTCTGTTTCCTGACACGCGCACTCGAGAGGCTCAGCGTAACTGCCACACATTGGGCCGGTATGTCGACTGATTAGATGATCACCCCAAAGGATAGCCAGTCGATCCGATCGAGCCGATTGCGAACGTGGCCTCGTGCACGGACGTGTAGGCTCGACCGGATAGGGTGTCGCCTACACGTGTATCTGCGAGACCCACGCCCGAATCCATGTCTAAACTCACAATTTTCTGACAGCAGGGATGATGGGACTCCCTTCCACGTCACGGATCGGGAAAGCCTGAGACATTGACGGTTTCAAGAATAGTGGGAGTGGAAAAAGGTCTGTTTTCTCGCACGACCAAGACGCAACCCTCCAAGATTCCCCTTTCAGACTGGAAACGAACGTGTCTGTGAGTGGGACATTGAACGGGCCTTAAGCGCGATCCCTTTTCCCTCCCAATTCCCCAGCTCACACGAGAGCCACGTCATCGCCGGACCCGGTATTGTCATCATTGAGACGACTTCCTTCCCTATCGTCTCGTGTTACCCTTTCATTGCCTGACAGCGGCCCCGTGGCACGTGCTCGCCCCCTACTGGCCTCGAGCCCCGTGCTCCGAGCGCCAGCAGGACAGCGAGTATCGAGCCGTGGGGTTCGTTCGACGAACCCGGACTGAGGCCGAGTAGCGAGCACACAGCCTACGCCTGAGGCCCGCTTCGTCCGACTCCAAGGCTTGTCGTGAGCGACGCCAGCGGTTGATTAGGCAACGCGACACGCATAGCGTTCCGCCGGTTCACCAAATCCGAGCCTGGCCCTGACAACGAAACTCGCGGGGATGGCGATGACATCCCCCAAGGCATAAAAGCCAGACACGACCGGTGATTGCTATCTTGCGCAACTATCCCTGAGAGCTGCCAGAGGAGATTTCAGTTCCGACCTGGAACTCCACCCCCACCATCCTAAAATCCTTGGCACACCCCCTTTTCGCACTTCCGGGCCCTCATCCCACTCCGATCAGGAAGTCGCACTGGGCGTGAGGTTGGGCGTCACATCCTTCCTCAGTGTGACCGGCACTCAAGACCATTACCCTGCCATGGAGGGGAGCTTGGACCGAACAGTAGTGACAGGCACCAGGGCTAGTGACCCAGCCCTGGTGGAAGCGTAGTCGAACGAGCCTCGTCGTACTACAGCAACTTCGGACGCCGGGCTCAAAATCACCTCTTAGCCCCTGAGTAGACCGACTAGTAACTTATGCCCTCTCTTATCATCAAGACGCCTATCATCATTTAATTTATTAGTTGGTGGTGACCTCCTCCCAGCCCTATGGTTATGTGTGTGTGTTCTATATTGTAGGTATGTGCCCGTAGGCTATGTGTATGGTTTGTAATGTGTGTGGACCCATAGCAGATGCTGCTCCCCCCCATGGAGCATCTACGAAGTGAGTACCAGTGAGAGGTGCTCCTATCACCTCCACCAGTACCTATGTGAACCATGTGTAGGTATACTAAGTATGTATAGCCCCCTAGAAGCACCTTGCCTTGACGCAGCGGAGGGGCGACCCTATGCACCCTTAATCTGTTGCCAACGAATAGACAGCCCTCCTCCAGACCCCGGTCATCAGCTGGGGCTCCTCCCCCCCCCAAAGGACCCATTATCCATGCCTACTTGATCTATCCTCAGTAGTAGACTGTCTCCCACCTATCAGCAGATTCTGGTCATCAGTAGTAGACTGTCTCGCACCTATCAGCAGATGCCGGTCATCGGCTAGGTTCTTCCTATAGGGATCGGAAGGGACAGACTACAGACTCAGGCCTGGACCCCACAGGAATGCGGCAAGGAAAACTTTTGCCGCGGAATTGTTTCCGGGACCCCACATGCCCCGGAAAAGGTCGTGGAAAGGTTTGGTTTACTCCGCGGAATCATTCCGCGGGGCCCCACAGGTCGCGGAATGTGGCGTGGAAAAGCTTCCGAAACCGTTCCACATGGTCTGCGGCATGGAAAAGTGACGCGGGAGGGATTTCCGCCGCAATTTTGTGCCGACTCTCAAGCGTTGGGGGGCGGTGCATCGCGAAGGTTTCCAAGGTCTCCAGCTCAGGTGGGAGTAGAAGATGTCCGAGCGGCCTACATTGTCGTCCATGTGTCGCACCACTCCGTCAACCGCCACCCGAAGTCGCCCTCCAACGGACATTGGTGGTTCCTAGGCTCCAGGGGCAGTCACTCGGACGGACCACCACTTCCATTTCGGGATGGCACCCCGGGCACATTTCCTATTACGGAAAGTTCAATCCGCATTTTGCCGCAAAACGGCCTCCGCTGTGGGGTCCCCGCAGAAGGCTTTCCAAACTTGCCAAGACTCTTCCGACGGCCATTCTGCGGAAACGTCTTTTCCAAAGGAATTCCTGTGGGGTCCAGGCCTCAGTAGGTGGTGGGCCATCATCCGTCCTTCCACTAGCCCCCAGCCTTGTCCCTCCGATGTGCCTCAATCTATGTGTGTATGGTATGTGATATACTGAGTATCGTGGTTATTTGTGTGTGTAATGTGGTAGAAACAGGCCTATCTGGACAGGACCCTAATGTCTTCATCTATCATTTGTTGCTCTTGCTGCAGACCTGGTGCTCTTCCCTCTCAAAGGAGGCTCGGGCTCTCCAGTCTGATTGAAAACCCTGCGTTGAGAAGACTCAAAGGCGGTAGCTCCAGGTTTCTCAGATGCTTTCAAAAGCTGCTCTCAATGGCCAGGAATTGCCTCCTTTGATTTAGGCCACAATCACAGCAGGACCTCCCTGATGTATCTCATTACTTTGAAGGTCAAGTTTGAACGCACCTGGCTGCAACTATGTCCCCAGAAGAGTTGAAAAAGTCCTCGTGTGAGTATATGCCCTTAGCATAATTTGTTTCCACATTGTGCAATCGACGCACCTTCCTTTCCGGATCACCCAGGATACTCAACCTTGCTTTTTATTTCTTCTTCCGACTTTCATCTAGTTCCCTGGATTCTAACTCAGGGCTGTATTCAACAGTCTGATAGGTGTACCAACCGAGCGAGGGTCGCTGGTAGGCTGTACGCTCGTACGCTGGTACTAACCGGGCATCACCAGATGGGCAGGGTCTGTTCGAGAAAGGAAGGCCAAAAAAAAAAAAAAGAAAAAAAAAAAAAAAAAAAGGAAGGAAGGCCGGCACCATCGGGCCTCTCTGCACTTCTCTTCAAAGGTGGAAGAACATGGAAAGATGCACTTCCATATGTTTTGTCTTTTGTGCATGTCGAGCTCAGTGCAGCTGGGGCCCATTAGTTCATACCCCATACCCCATACCCCATACCCGGCGACGACGGGGGCAGCTTCCTCTGCGTTTTTTTTTTTTTTTTTTTTTTTTTTTCTCCCTGTGGAAGAACTGTAAGCGCGCTATACAGCTGGAAATGGTTTTTTTTTTTTTTTTGCCCACGGAGAAAATAACGCCGCACAACGCCGCCCGCGGTCGCAACGTGCCGCATAGTCCCTGAAGACAGGAACAGGAGCAATGCTACTGGGACCTGGCCCCCGGCCCCCGGCCCCTGGGTTCGTGCCAACTTGAAAATGAAACAATGGGCCTCCCTGCACTACTCTGGACATGCACAAAAGACAACGATCATGGCGGCGTACCTCTCCATGTTCTAGCAGAAGATTCACTCTCGTTTTGCACATTTCGAGAGTAGGCCCAATGAGTTTGAACTCCGGTCTGTGCTTCAACAGCTCGGGGGTGTACATGTACGACAGTGAGGGCTGCGACATGGCCGGAAAAAAAAAAAAAAAAAAAAAAAAAGCAGTGCGGGCTGGATGGACTATAATCCCCAATCCCAAAATGCATATGGAAAGAAATCCGGCCAGGCTCATTGTTTCATACATCCAGTCCAGAGAGAGTCGACACGCTGGCATGACTGATGTCCGCGTTTGGCGGGGTCCTTTTCTCTTTTGTCCGTTTTCAGACCGCCTCTTTCCGCGCCCAGCCCCCCCCCGCCTTTTTTGCCCTTCCCCCGCCTTTTTTCTCTGGCGGAGGGCGTGGTTCCACTGCGCCGTAGGTGGCAAAGGCGGGAAATCACGTTTAGTATAGTGAAGGCGAAATCACTGGAGGGAGACCCTGGAAGTACCCCGGTGTATCGTCTGGTGGGTGGGCATTAGCGATCAAGCAGATCTACGGCTGAGATTGAGCAACGTTTTGTGCGTACGGCGTGGGGACGAAACACTGGCCGGCGGATTGGGAAGGGGGCGCAGTTCATCGGCAGCCATAGACTGGCAGAGGGAAGAGCATCCTGGACTGGAAGGGGAGGCGGAAGGAGAAAGGAGGAGGGAGCAGGTGGAAACGGCGAAGCAGACGAGCAGGAAGGCGATGGCGGAGGAGCGGACATAGAAATACATTCAACCTACTGTAGTAGTCAGCGATTGTAGACGTCAAAAAGAGGGAACAGAACCGGAGATCGATAGCCCGTGGAAGAATTTAATTCCCCCCATAGGTTGTTTTTCCCCTTCCTCGGATTTTTTTTTTGTCTTGTTTATCGTGCTTTGTCAGGGGGAATCGAACCATAGACGTAAGACTTGTTCGTCTTCGTCTTCGTCTTCGTCTTCGTCTTCGTCATCAGAGTGTTCACTTTCCTTTGTTGTCTTCTTCAGCCTTCTGCCATAGCCAACGATTGTGTATTACGCGAGGGTTGTCAGGTCTCAGGACTCCACAGAGAACGGTTAAGTTTTTTTTCCAGGTGATGGCGAAGAGTGAGGTTTCTCCGCGTTCTGCTGCTGTACTGTTGCAGTCCCACCCAGTCTCGTAGGATTTCATTACGCCTCCCTCTCCCTCTCCCTCTCCCTCTCCTCTCCCTCTCCCTCTCCCTCTCTCTCTCTCCCCCTTATCCTCCTTCCTCCCGCTCCCTAGGCGCTCCGTCTTTCTGGCGCTTTTCGTTATCAAAGGTGCGCTCTTCGCGATTACCCGTCGTACTGTCCGTACAAGTCGGTGTGCGTACTGTTCTGTACCTTCCGTACATTCGTACAGTACGTGCAGTCCGTACTGCTTGTGCTGTTCGTTTTGTACGCAGGGTTGCTCTACGAGGAGAGAGCGAGAAGTTGCCCAAGCGCGTCTGTTTATTTTCTGGACTGCAATTATTTTCAATATTTGTTTGTTGTCGAAGAGAGGGCTGGTGAGTGGTGGGTGGTGGTTTTTGGGTGTTGGGGAGGAGTAGGTTGTGTTTTGGGTGAAGGGGAGGAGCAACGAGTTTGGGTGAGGCTGATAGGATTCCACTGATGAACGGTGGTTGGTCGCTTTCTGTGTTGTCACTGTTATCAGTGAGATCATCATTTTGAATCCAGCTTCGATTGACCCTTCCTGCTTTAAGTTGAAATTTTCGTGTTCGCTTCTTTTTCTTTTTTTTTTTGGTGCGAGATTAGAGTGATTTGAGTAATTGGATTTGGTAGAGAGAAGTTGTTGCTCGCCCCGGGATATTGCTAACAAAGTGCGGACTAAAAATAGATACTGGTGGGGGGATGAGAGGAAAGAAGAGGGGGGAGGGAGGGAGGTAGAGAGATGCGAGAGAAAGGAGGGTAGCAGAAGAGAGAAGACAAAAGAGAGGAGAGAAAGAAAGCAGCAGAGCAGAGAGAAGAGAGAAAGGGGAGGGCGGTTTGAAGCTGGCCAGTTTGACCTCCTTACGTTTTTTTCAGCCTCAGTTTTTCTCGTTGATCGAGTTTTTGTCCTCTTCTGAATAGTCAGTCGTCCTCGCGCCACGAGACTCCTCCGTCCTTCTTTGTCTTCTTCTTCTCAAGTACTTTTTTTTTTTTGCCCCTCTAATGCCGCAATGCCATACGATTCCTTCTCTTTCTATAATTAGCATTTGGGTTCTCTCGCAAGATAATATACTCAGCACTCCTTGAGATATAATTAGCACTCGCTCAAGTATAATTAGCATTTGCGCAAATCTGGGTTGGTGCTCGTATATGAATGAAGGTAGAATAGTACTGCTCAGGTGATTGAACAGAACTCAGTTTTTTTTTTCACTGCTCTATTCCATTCATTTCCTCTTTATACCTCTCAAAGGTGCGATCTTTGTGAATGATACCACCGTTGCAGGCCTCTCCTTGCAATTTGCGCAATATCTCCTGTTTGTTGCTAAGTACACAAATCCAAAGCGCTTTTGTAGTACACGAAGCAGGCTGCTTGCGTGTGGTTTGTCCGTGAGAGAGAGAGAGAGAGAGAGAGAGAGAGAGAGAGAGAGAGAGAGAGAGAGAGAGAGAGAGAGAGAGAGAGAGAAGGGCAATTAGTCTGGAACGTATTTCGTGGATAACCAGGATATAAATAGAATCGCCACGAAAGCATAGAAATTTAGTTTCATCTTTAGTCAGAAGAAATTTTTGAAAGAAGGGGTGGAAGCCTGAGTAGGAAACTCCTTATCCACGATATAGACAAGTATACGAAACATTTACTGTAGTTACAAAATCCATTCGATCTTAGCATACACAGTTTAGACAGACAGATAGATAGATCGATAGATAGATAAACAGATAGATAGATAGATAGATAGATAGATAGATAGATAGATAGATAGATGAAAGCTTTAGATGCGTGGTGTTGGCATACCTTAGGCGGGTGCAGTTGCCAGAAGCTGTTATAGTAATGAGTTGTGTGTGCTGTCTTGGCTCTACTCTAGATCTGATGTCAAATCTATTATTAATAATTTATTATATTGAATCTTGCCGCCGCCTGTTAGAAATCGAGCAATCTCGTAGAGTTGTCACCGGCTCACCGCCATCGAAGTAGTGTTTTCATAGAGTACCTTTTTTTTTTTTTTTCGTAAGATCACAACCTTTTTTTTTATAGTTATAGTGAGTTGGACCGAAAATTTTGAATTTTTATATTGAAATTATGTATCTAGACATAGATGTAGACACATTCTTTGCTTTCGGCTCTTTTTTGTTATTTTTTAACTAACGTGCCGCCGAATCTGGGAACTCTGCCACGTGTGCAGGCTTCCAATAGATAGATTGATCATACTCCTCGTTGATCGGTTACCTAATTAGGAATTAATTGATTGATTTGAAACATCAATTAATTAATTAATAGCTGTAAAGAAGAAGATTCACTCAGGTCTTAGATTACAGCATGATGGTCATGCAATTTAGCGCAACAAAAGGAAGGCTGTGTTAATGAGCTTTCCTTATTCTTTTTCCTTTTGTTTGTTTCCCACACAGCGAGCAAATTCCTCAGTGATGCGCGTGATGACCGCCGCCCATTGAATGCTCCATCGTACAAATCTCCTCAAGCTCTGAGCATCGCTCTGAGCATTGCAAAAGAGAGAGACACAGAGACACAGAGAGAGACACAG